CCCCCCCCCCCGCTGTGTTCTACTCCCTACCTATTTAGGGCAACATAGGGAAATGGTACTCGACACACTTGTGTGTCGGTGCCTTTCCCTGTGTTGTTCCTGTTCTAGTCTTTCCTACCCGGGCGGTCTAAGACTAAAGTCCCGCTCCCTAACTAGTGCACCTAATTCACTTCGTCTAAGTATTCAGTAATTCTAGAGTGCTAGGTAGTCAAACACACACACGTACACACACATGGACATACACCCCCTCCCTGCCCCCCGCTTTCCTTCTTGCGTTTTTTGTCGTTTGTTGGGCTTTCTCTCAGGCTTTTTAGGTTGTTCTTGAGGCTCGTTTCCCTACCCCAGTCAAGGGCTAAGTATTCATTTTTCATTTTTTCTACGCCTATCTTTCTCTCTTGCCCTCTTAGCGCTGCTCTTTCTGTGTTTCTTTCCTTTTGTTTCTAAGGCTTTTTAGGTATCTATTCAGGCTTTCCACGCACGCGCCGCCAAGCGGCACCGTGTCTGAGTCTGTGCCACCGTTCTTTGAAAAAGCGCCGAAGCCGGCGATTTGTGTGTGTCCACCCCTGGAAAAAGGGTTCTCAACCAACTTCGGCAGGGGCACTGAGCACTCCTTGGCAAACTCAGTGCAACGAAGCTATGCCTTGGAGTGGGAAGCACGGATTGATCACCCGTGTGTACCTGCAAGAACTTTTTACAAGCTGTCCAATCCGCACGGTTTGATTCATGGTGGTTCCACGATACTTCCCCCAAACCTTTCCCCACCGCAGACCTGCAGCCGCTTTCCCGCTGAGCAGCGCCGACAGATCATTCTGCAGACTTGCACCTGTGGAAACAATTTTAAACAATACTGTTTGAGCCGACTCATGCGCCTTGCCGTTCCCTCACCTTTTTCCCAACGTGGTAACTGAGTCACTGAAAACCAATGTCAGAGTGTGTGTTGTGACCCAACGAAAGCTTGAAAACGAAGAAAATGACTGACATATTCAAGGAAGGGGAAAACGCACCACCTGGTTGGTTATTCGGAAAATGGTCATCCTTGGCCATGCCATTTGACTAGATTGTTTTTGGGCGTGTAAGACATGAAGATCAGCGCTCATTCTGGATTTCTCCCTTCGGTGACTTTGGCTAATCTCATAGAGAGGCCAATGGAGAGAGCGATTGTGGAGCTGCAAAAAAATCCAATGCCAATGATAGGACCCTAGTAGGTGGCCATTTTGCCATCAGTGGGGGCCGCCATTTGAAAGAAAAGACGTCGCAGCAACGCCAAGTGAGCAGAGAGAGCCGTATTCGGACTCTGCCAAATAGCCTAAGGTTTTGCCGCACTGTTGCCGGACGAAGGGTTACGAAGGTTCTACCCAGAGATTTCGGTCCGACCTTGGTCATTGGCAGTCATTACCTGGTTTTGCCTTGGATGATCTTGGATGATGATTTTCCTATCGGATCTATTTCCCCATTCAGGAGCAGTTTTGCTCCCCGGGGCCTTAGGCACCCCACAGCCCGGCACCAAGGCTTGAGAAAGTGTCGCCCTAGCCGCGTTCCAGCACTATGAGAGATGGATCCCCAGCTTCAGAAAACGTCAGAAGTAGCTATAGCATCGGTGAAGAGATGTGAAAACATTTTGAGGACCTAGGGGTGTCCCATTGCCAGCAACAGTCGGTAAAGGATTGATTTAGATAACCCGATTGAGAAAAGGCCTGCAACCAGGCCTCATCATCATTTTCCTTTGGGCCGTTTGTTTTCTGGGATGTACATGGATATAGACAATGAAGACTCAAGTTTACAAGCTATATAGACAATGAAGACTCAAGTTTACAAGCTCTTCAGTTTCAGACCGAGCATGTGGGATGTGTTGGGGGGATCCTTCAGGATACGGTTCCTGAAGCGTTAGACATTCGGAGGTCTAGACGGTTCCTGCGTGAGTGGCTGCATATGCTTGGTCATGACGGCAAACTCAAGGCCCTTTTAATATAGGGTTCTTCGATTCATTTTCATGATTGATTGAGGTTTGAGGCACGGGACTATTTAATATACACATGTTTTGCAGACATTGTTTTGCCACTAGTCACGCAGTCCCTGCACTGTGCACGAACCATTGACCGTATGGCGTGATTTCTTGCATCTCAATCAAGAAGGCCGTTGGCTTTACGGCAATGTGCCAACTATATCAAATGGGCAATCTCGTTGCGGTCATCCATCCTCATAGCTCGGATGACATCATGTTACATAACTAATTAATTTACATGCATTTTGCTGTATAATTGCGAGTGTTTTGTGATTCATGCGCGGAAGTTGGAAGATCTTGTATCAGCTCCATTCTATTCAGCCACGTGCGACAGCACATCTCCTGGCTTCCAATGCTATTCTCGTTGGCACCGACTCACGGATGAAGAGACGGGTCCCGCGTCCCGCGCCACCCGCTGGACTCCCGTCGGCCCGACCGACCACGACAAGTCAAAAGAGCGGCCTGGGCGAAGTCAAAAGAGCGGCCTGGGCGATGGATTGAGCAAGGTGGTTGGGGGTGCCAGGGGGTCTACCTGTCTACCTTCTGAGGAGGGGAGGGTTGGAGCCCTAGTCGCATTGGTTCGACCTTCTTTGAAGCTCGGCACTTCGGGGGTTGTGAAACATGTCCAAGGGCTCCTTGATGAGACCTGTATAGAGGGTCTACTGTTTTGATTTGATTTGCCCAAAACGCGGGAGATTATTTGGGGAACAACATGTGCAACCAGTTTGAGCTGAAAAGATATGTTTGCCCATTGTTGAAGAGGTGATATATTGGTCCGGGTGACCCAAGTAGGGGACTCTGAACTTCTTTCTCAGTTGGTGGCCGACCAAGCCCTTGTCCTGCAGGGTTTTGCGCTTTGCCTGTCCTCATTCGATCAGCGGGGTCAACAGACCCGAAGTTGCGGGCCGACCACCGCATGATGGGCTACCTTGGTGGGTGTTGACTCACCGTTGATAGGAGAAATCCCCCCCAAAAAAGATGGAACGTGTATACACCCAGACGCTCCAAACAGCCCTTGGTCCCTACCTAGTGATTGGTGAGACCCCAGACCCTCCACATGAGGGTCCGACCCCTCCATATGAGGGTCCAGGAGAGTGTGGGCGTTTCATGCCCACACGTTCCTTGGGGAACGCCGTCTCGGCGGTTCTTTGGACCCCTCTTTTCACCGAGTCTCACAACTTGTTGGAGTATTTTGATGGCCGGTGTCTTTGGGCTCAAGAGTGAATTATTGACAGCGACCGCACAAGAGAGTCGTGTTTAGCTAGTCAAGTGCCTGCAATAAAGGTACAGGTGACGGGACAACTTTGGAGCTGTCAAGCGTATGCGTTTGGGGGGGTCAACCTTGGATGAAGAACCCTGGCCTCGCTTTGTTTGCAAAGTGGATGTATAGAGGACAAAAATCTTAGCATAGATTTGAAACAACAGTGCAAGACCTTGACACTGGACACAGCCAGCCCGCCAGCTTGCGCACGCCCAGCCGGCGAGTGACGTAACAACTCCACGGTCAGTTCAGAAGATTCTTCCACCAAGCTGTGCCTTCACTTCTCCTGACCACCGGACTACTCCCGGAACTTGGGACCTCAAACTCGCAGGACTCGCTGCTCCCATCCACCGCTGTGCCTGCTACCCCCTCCCCCCGTCCCTCACGCGACCGAGAGCGGCGCGATGGCCCGGTCCCGGTCGCGCAGTCGGAGGACCGGGATGGCGCGACCCGGGGCGGAAGCTGTGCGGCGGAACCCGGTGGTGTTGGGAATGGATCGGGTGCAGACGGTATGGCGCAACGGCTACAGTATGGGCGGGAAAAAGAGATGGGTCAAGAACCTATATGTAGCAACGAGCCATATGTATTCATCCAGGCTTTGCACAGTTAGTGATTTTTAGTGATCTCTTGGAATGACACATGCCATGACCTTTCACAAGCCAAGGAGCGTTTTCCGGGCCTTTGCCAAAGGTCCTCAAGTGCACGCTCTCCATAGACTCCTTCCTTAGCAGACCTTGCAACTTGCAAAGTGCCTGCAAGTGGATCCCTGGTAACTATCTAAGGAAGCAGGGATTCTAGGTCTATGGGTTTAGTATTTGAAACCACGACTCCCAGCGACATCGTGGGAACTGCCTGGATGCCGGTTCTGCCAGTGGGTTCTGATCTTCGCAATACGCACGGTGGCACAGCGCCTCCGGCACATCCACCAAACAACACTCGAGTTGCTGGCTTGCCCTGCGGCCAACTCTGCATGTCCCAACCAACAAGAACACAGAAGCAGCTTATACCGATACCTGACCAGCAGGGATATGATGGGGACTTCGTTCGACCATCGTAGGCCAATCCTAGCCCAGACACTCCATGGGACTGCCATGCATCACCCAGACATTGGGGTGGTGGGTTGAAAGGGGGTCTTTCTGGGGCGGCAGTCCGGCAGTCCAGTGTTTGGGTGAAGCAATGGCCCCCCAAAAGATCATGGGAGAACGGCTTCGCTGCCGGTGACCCGTGCATTTCTCCGTTTCCGCAGGGATCGCCGGCGGAGCCCCTCCCGGAGGCGAACACGTGCGGCGGAAGGGCTCGTTCTCGTCGAGGGCGCATGCTTTCGGGTACCTCCAGGTAATCTCAAAGCCATCTCAAGGTGATATGTCGGGATCATACATGAAAATGGATGGTCATGGGAACTGCATTCTGTTCTTCTCTTTATGAAGCTGTTGCACCTCTTTGCACCTCGGGCCTCGCCCCACGCCTGGGCCCAGCCACGCCCCACGCCTGCCGTTTTGAGGCGCCGCTCGCCCTCCAGACGTCGAGGACGCAGGTCTCCCACGCCTCGAAGGCCGGGTCCATGCATCTTAAGGCACCATGACACTGCCCTAGGGATCCAGTCGTACCTTCTCAGAAGGTGCCAGGAGGGTCCAAGTGCCTTCTGAGAAGGTACTTGGATCCCTAGGGCTGCTTGAAAGATGGCTCAACCCTGGGGGGTTTAGTCGTAGCTCCGTTTCGAAGATGGGACCGGGGTGGGTGGGTGGCCAGGGGAAGGGGGGGCTGGGTGGAAGTTACACTTTTTAGCCTTTTTTTTGGAGGAGTCTAGATCACCACCTCTTGAGGAGGTAGGAGCCCCAGGGGAAGATCCACAGAATCCACTGAACACTGCCACTTCTGGCCTTCTGATGGGTTAAACACATACGCTCTTTTTTGATGTTTGGGATTTGGGGGAGTTGTTTTGGAATGACATTTTTTTCTTGAATAAGTGGTGCAACCGTTGGGAGTCCAAATAGTTGAGGACCTAGAGCCAATCCGGAGTCGTGGTCACCATTACCACCTCCGAAGTTGTGCTGGCCAATCCCATAGCATCGGACTCTTGATTAAAACACCCACCCCAGACGTGGATTGAACAACTTCTTTATGTGGGGGGTTGTTAAGCAAGAGTCTACATGAGTTTTAGCAACAATTCCAATTTCATGGTCCAGGGTTAAGCTGTCCAATCCAGTTTAGTAGCTGGTTGAAACATGAAGCTAATCTGTGCTTTAAAGAACGCGGTGTCGAGAGGGCATGCATGTGGGTGTCTTTACAATGAGCTATATGTGTTGTGCAAATCCTCCTGGAAGATTGCTGGTAGAAGGTTTTCTATCCAAGAACCTTGGCTGAAGGCCGGAGAAGCACACCTTGCACAATGTCCTGAAATCGTTGTGTTGCCACGGCATCTGTGGTGTGGCAAGGAATCTTCGGAATGGCTATGGCGAATCCATACCTGGACCCTGATCTTCAGCACCAGAAACACATGATGGATAGTTACCGTTGTTTTTTCCCAAGCAACCACGGTATACTACAGAACGTTTCTCAACAAGGCTCCTTGGGCTTCTCAACAAGGCTCTTGGGGTGCCAGGTAAGAAGACATGCCACTTGGCATGGTTTATGGGGTTCCTATCTGAACAAGAGGTACTTATGGAGAATCATCAGGCTGCAGAAGCCTGCAGCCTGGAGAGACCAAATACGAGAAGAAACTCTGGAAGAGTCTCACACTGGGACATGAGGAGGCTGCCCCCTCCTCCTCACCGTTGTTTTTTGAGAGATCGATGGTGTGGACACCCCGGTCCTTTTCAAAGCGGTTGCACTCTACGCTTTCAGGCGCAGGAGCTTTGGCTGCATTTGTAAGGGTCGAGATGGCATGGGAATTCACAGGGGGAGTGCCATGCCTGCTCCAGCCACCCATGCTGCAACATGGGCCAACCTTTGGATTGAGAGCTTCATGCCCAAACCATTGAGCTATTATGCTCAAACCGATTATTGATTGTTTGCATGGCCTGTGGCCGTATCGCAGGGTGCAAAACCCATCACACACACACCTTCCCCTTCCCTTCTGGCCTTAAAAGGCACTGTAACATTCCAACCTCAACTTTGGGGTACAACTTCCACACTGCAAGGAAGCCACCAAAAGCAGGGTCTGGTCATTGGTTTTTCATCTGGAAGAAGTGATGCTGTCACTGAGATGGACCCACTCGCTTGGTAGATGTATGGACGCAGGTTTATCATGATATCGACCCTGATGTT